CCCTGTTGCCTCTGTGCAGCCGTGTGACCGGGCCTAATCCCTTGTTTTCCAGCACAGACTTTGCTGGAACTCCTCCGGCTTCATCGAGATCTCAACCCCTGGAAGTCACCTGGAGCAACCGAAGCGTGGAGGGAGCGAGCGAGTGGAAAAGAGCTTTTCCTTCCCTATTTTATTTATAGGATCTTATTTGTAATAAAGCTTTGCACTCTCGCTGTTCCTCTCTGGTTCTCAGTGTCTCCCAGTCCCAGAGCCGTCTGGGCTTGGTGCGTTCCCATATTTTTGATCCTGTTCAGAGTCCCTCGGGTGCTGCTGGAGCTCTGGGGACTCTCCATCTCGGCTGCACCGAGAGCTCCCCCCGCACAACTCCGATCCAGCTGGCGGGTGCCATTTAGACACGGTTCAGACTTAACGCCTGCGCTTGCCTCTGTTCCACCCCTGGCCCTTGTGTGGAGACCTTGGTGTTGGGATACAGCGAGGGAGAGCTGCTCGTCACCCCCTGCTACCAGGTCTCTCGGGGGTTTTTAAACTTCACTTTACTGGCCAGAAACAGTGGAAGTGCTTCCTCCCAGCGCTCAGCCTCCTGCAGCCACGGGGGGTGAGTCTGGAGGACTCTGATCTCCAGGACACACGGGGTGGAACACACTGACTTTATTTATTTTTTGGAAGCAAAAAACAGCAAAACACGTAACGCAGCTTCGTACAGCAGCACAGGCCTGTTGGAACAAATACGCTCAGCTTTTTCCACGCTGAGTTAATACACAAAGAGAAGGGTGCCTGTTAGTGGGCGAAGCTCGAGCGTCGCTCTTGTCCCTTCCCTCCCTCGCACTCACCCCTCATCCATCCTCGCACGCACACGTGGTACCGCCCGTGGCGGCAGGAGCGGGCCCTCGGCCGCGGCTCTCCTGCTGCCGTGGAAATGACCGGCTGGAAAAACCCAACCGTCCTGGTGAAGAGCTGCGGAGCAAAACGCCTCGCAGGTATCTCGAGCTCTTCTTGGCTCAGTTACAAACCGTTGGGCTGTAGGTTAGCTCTGGGTTTGTGTACCTTCAGTCTCCTCCGCCGAGATGCGTTTCCGACGAGAGCTCTGGGAGCTGCACAGCCCGGGCTCCCCCCGGGCCGGAGACTCCTCAGAGGGGTCGAAGATGCGGCCGATGCCCAGTTCTGCAGCAGTGGGGGGTGTGTGACCCCCCCAACGCCGCTCAGGACCTGCAGCAGGGGGTGTGTGACACCCCAGCGCCGCTCAGGACCTGCAGTTGGGACACAGCTCCCGCCTCGCTCCCAGGGCCGGGCTCTGCCATCCCTCGGGCTGACGCTCTCCAGACACGGAGCGAGAGACGATCCATGTAAAGCATCTCCGGAGGAAGGGGCTGGCTGATCATGAGAAAACAGCTTTGGATTTGTGCAGCCTCCTGGGAGCCCTGGGCTGCAAGTCGCTGGTGTGAGGCTCCCTGTCTGTCCCCAGCAGAGCTTTCAGCCATCGCTGGTCACATCCCCCCAGCATCGGGGTTGGGGCACGACAGCCGGGATGCAGCCCAGGCACAGGCAGGGTAACAGCAGGAAACGGCTTCAGCTCTTTCCAAGCTTAAAATCTCCTGGTTTCTCTATGCTTCAGTGCAGAAAGGTGTCCTGGCTTGAAAAAATATACTTTGGCTGGTCTTGTTTAAGCCTTTAAGTTCCTTTGCCAGCAGAGGTAGTGGATTCATGTTGAAGGGTCGTCTCTTTACAGGAAGAAAAAAAAAAAAAAAGGGAAAAAAA